ATGTGGTGCTGGGGATCGAACCGCGGTCCCTGTGCTTTGCCAAGCTTGTTTCAAGTAGGTGCTTTAGACCACTGAGCCATCTCTCCAGCCCCTAGTCTCATATTTGTGGCAATCCTCCTGCCTCAGCCTTCCAAATTCTGGGATTATAGTCATCCACCACAACACCTGGCTAAACAAAATTTTTTGAAATGTCTTCAGGCCACAGACATGATTTTTTAGACAGAAAAAGATGCACTAAGTGGTTAGTGAAAAATATGAGAGCAAATCCCCATTCAAGACTTGCCGTTACACATGATAACAGAAGATTCTACACACTTCTGAAATGAGGAAAGAAGTCTTATGGAAAGGATTAAGAGGCTCTAATAGAAAGGATCAAAATACCTGTCTGAACTCAGATGTCAGAATAATTACAAGAAAAGGATCAAAATACCTGTCTGGACTCAGATGTCAGAATAATTAAAAAAAAAAAAAAAACCAACAGAATTATCTCCAAGCTATAAGAAAATGCTATTTTCTCTTTCTTTTTTTTCTTTTTTCTTTTTTTTTTTTTGCGGAACCGGGAATCAAACTCAGGCCCTTGCACTTGCTAGGAAAGTGCTTATTCCACTGAGCCATCTCCTGGGCCCCAGAAAATCCTTTCTTAAGAAGGGGGGGGGGGCGCGGGGAGATGGCTCAGTGGAATAAGCACTTCCCTGGCAAGCGTAAGGGCCTGAGTTCAATCCCCCGGTTCTGCCAAAAAAAAAAAAAGGTTTCCAAGCAAGATTTCTAAACATTAGTCAACAACCATTTGTAAGTAGAACCCAAATATTTACACTTATACATGCACACACACCTAAAAGAAATGAAAAAAACAACACAACAAACCCAAACCCAAAACATACCTTCGAGGTAGCCTTTCTAAGACACTGGAGAATATGCTCTACTAAGAGCACAGAGAAAACCAAGACAAAGGGCAACCCAGAGCACAGGAAACAAAAGCCAACAGACGGGGGAGGGGCTCTGCAAGGAGCAGTAAAGGAAAATGCCAGCCCATCAACTCTGCAACAGTCACATAAGATGGACGATTCCTCCTGCCACCACACCACAATGTCACCCAAGGCCAGGTAGGTCAGCCTAGTTTCCTTCCTTGACTCACCTCAAATGTGTGCTGGTAGTGTCATACTTTCCACTACACATGTGAAGGCCAGACCTGTTGGAGACACTTACTCCTGCTTTCTGATCTACTCCTGAGGGCACAGCCTGACTGCAGCAGGCCTACAGCAGCCCCCTCCTCACCACATGCCCTTCCAGTCACTGCACTCTACAGCCCAGCCTGCTGTGCCAAGGGCAGGCACCAGGCCCCTTGTTTCCTCTGATTCACCTAGGACTCTTCCCACAAACTTCCCTGAGGGCCTCCTGTCCACTGTCAAAGAGGCCAAGACCGAAGCAGAGCTCCTACTCAGCTTTCCTTCCCCTGGGAAGCCTTATACAATGTGGGAATATTTACAGAGCCAGGTGTGGGCTCTTGACTTAATTCTTCACAACACATAACACATAGGTGGCAAAGAATCAAAACCTCATGAATGAGGAACCCAGACTTGGAGTAGGAACCAGGTGGGGAAGGAGCAAATACAGATCCAGAAGCACGCACAGATGACAGGGAAGGTACGAGCAAAATGACACTCTCACAATAAAACACATTCTAATGCAACCAAGCGATGAGCACTTGAGACGCACCAGTTCTTGCAGGCCTTCCTCTTCTTCCCCTCTCCACAGGAAGTGGCCCGCAAGGAAGCAGGATCAGGCTTTTTCAAATCTTCTGGATCCAGCAGCTCATCTGAGTCAATCAGATCCTGGAGATCATTCAAAGCGATTAGCAACACAGTCTCAGTCTAATAAAAGTTAAGTCAGTGATCAGAGCCGATGCAAGCAAACTCTTGAGTTTACAGTATAGGAGGCATCACCTCTGTCCCATCTTGATTCGATCGCCACACTCAACCTTATTGCATGCTCAAGAAAAGACTCAGTATGCTACGAAAGAACTGGGAGCTGACTTACGTGAGAAATAGCTGTAAGGCTGGCCTAGGCAGAGACAGAGTGTGAGGGGTGTGGCAGGGAGCAAGTAGAAGAGAAATAGGGCTGTATTTATTTGAATATATGGAGTCATTTGAAAGAACAGTAAAATATTTTCTATATAATTCCAGAGAAAAGGGCAAATACTTATGTGTCTAATTCTTTTTATTTTTAAGGTCTTTGGGTTTTGTTGCGACAGGGTCTCACTCTGAAGTTTAGGCTGAACTATGCAGCCCAGGCTGGCCTGGAACTCGAGGTGATCCTCCTCCTTCAGCTTTCCTTCCCAAGTGCTGGGATTACAGGTGTGCGCCACCATGCTGGCTTATTTGTGTAATTCTTTGTAAATGTGGGCATGACCTACTTTGCTCACCACTCTAGTAGCCTCAGTAGTGGAAGTGTGGAAATGAAGGACTTGATTATACACAATGCTGATCAAAGATGGAAAGGGTGCTTTTCACACTGTGAGCATTCAGTGACTTGTCTTGAGAAAGGGGCTGATAAAAAGTACATGTAAACACAAAGGTCTTTGATTTATCACGAGAACCAGAAAATCTGTGGAGAAAAGATGCTAAAAAATAAATTTACCATGCTACAAGATGGAGTGTCCTTCTGAGGTACCAGTGACAGCAGACACAATGCTAGGCTTCACATACATACAAACATACATACATACATGAATATGTGCAAGTTCAGAAAGGTCACTCCAGCCTATGGCTGTCCCACACACAAGGCAGAGCCTAGAAGAGGCAGTAGATGAACACAGTGCCAACTCACCATGCTCTCATCCTCCATGTCATTGGCTGAAAGGGTCCATAGCTTGGCGGCAGCAGGGTCCACTGCAGGCTTCACTAAGTTCAACCAAGAAAAGAAAAGAACTCCATAAAATGAGCCACAACAGATTATGAGCAACATCACACAAATGCTTTCTGCAGAGCCTGAGGCGGCGCTTGGAGAGGAGGTCAAAGGCTTGGGCTTGGCACAGCTCCACTTCTTAGAAAGGGAGGACTCTGGGCTGACCACCTTAACACATTAAGGAGGTCTGTACTTCCCACTGCTTTGTTATCTTAGTTTCCACTCCTCTAATGTGGGGGCTAAATAGCACTCCCTCTGCCTACATCTGTCAAAAACTTCATAAATGTTAAAATCTTAGCTTCCTCTAAACCTATATGAGAAGCTCTGGAGCTGCTGGTGGCAAGGTCACACAAATAGTGGCAGACATACCTTCACACCTCTGGCTTCTCTCCAGGTCAAGAGAAAGCAAAGGCCTAAGAGAGCAGAGACCCAGGGGCCCCAGGAAGGGCTCTAGTCAATGTCACACTGATCACCAGATTTCTACTAGTCTGGCTGTTCACTGAAACTGATCCTACCTATTCTGGAACCATGAACTCATGATTCCAGAGAATTTCCTGAAGGCTTAGGCTGGTCGGTCAAAATGTTATGAGGTGGGTATGCCAGTAAATATTGGTAAAGTTCTGAAATTCTCACAACTGAGGTAGTAATTCAGGCACTAAAAAACAGTGGCAAGTGGGGAGATAGCTCAGTGATCTAAACGCCTGCCTGGCAAGTACCCAAGGACCCAGGTTTGATCCCTAGTACCACATGCCATTCTGGCCCTGGAACCCCAAGTGTGGCGGCACACGCCTGTAATCCCAGCACTGGAGAGGCTGAGACAGGCGGATCACTCAAGTCCAAGCTGCATACTGAGACCCTGGACCAAATAAATGTTTTTTTTTTTTTTTTTTAATTAAAAAAAAAGCAGCAGGAAAGATGAAAGTGGTGAAGTATATGTACACACAGACACATACCAAACTTTCTGGGCAGAAGAAATAGTTTCATAAGCACCACAGGACCCACAAAGAAAAACTGTGGGGTGTATATGGCAGTGCACATCTGTAATCCCAGTGACTCGAGAGGCTTAAGCAGGCTGCCCCCAAGTGAGAGGCCAGCCTAGGTAACCTAGCAACCTTTTCTCAAAATAAAATAGAGGTCTTGGGACATAGATATAGTGGTAAACCACTTGCCTACCATTCTTTTCTTTAAAAACAAAACAAAACAGGGCTTTACTATACAGTTGAGACTGGCTTTGAACTTGCAGTGATCCTTTTGTCTCAACCTCCCAAGTGCTGGGATTATATCCATGTGCCTACAGGCATGTGCCACCACACCTGGCACATGTCTAGCATTTAAAAAAAAAAATTATGTATTTGGTACAGGGTCTCACTATGCAGGTTGGGCTCATAGTGATCCTTCTGTTTTCAGCCTCCTCAGTGCTGGGATTACAGGCCTGCACCACCACACCCGGTTATGGTGGTTGGCTCGTCATGTCCAGGACATGACCAGCACAGCATGTGGTACCAGGGATCGAACTTTGCCTAAGCAGGCACTTAGACCACTGAGCAATCAGACTACCCTGGGGGCAGGACTGGCATGGCACATGGTGCTAGGGATCAAACCAAACTGCAGTCCTTGCGCACATGGCCTAAGCAGGTGCTTTAGACTGCTAAGCTATCCCACTGGCCCCTCTCTAACATTCTTAAGGCCCAAGAGTTTAATCCTACTACTGGAAAAAAAAAAAAAAAAAAAAAAGGCCCTGCAACAGCAACAAGGGTGAGCACTGTACCTCAGGGACCTGGAAAAAATGTCATTATGTAAACATGACTCTGGCCACTAACTAGGCCACCTCTGGTGCAAAAAGGGGCTGCACTAGACAATGTCTAAGCATCACTGTAGGGTCAGATCCTAATATACCCAGGATAAAAATCATTTATGCATTCTGCAATTTGGAAATGCCAGGCTAGTCTAAAGGACTAGTCCTCTAGAAATACTTGGATAGTGGGTTCAACTTCCAACATGTCCTTCCAGGCCCATTCACACAGCAGTATGTGCCCAGGTCAGCCTTACCTGAAGGAGAAGCCTTCTTGGTGATGGAAAGTTTGAGCTGACTAGACGAACCCACTTCAAAGTTGGGCTTTTTGCCTGTGACCTGAATAGACAGCAGACTGTTGCTGTTGTAACCCAGGTGTTCCTGGACAGACTGCGTTTCCCCTGGGCTTAAGGGCTCCCTCTGCAGCTGGAATTCAAGATATTAAGTGGATCACATTCCTATCAAATGTCCACCCACAGTTAAACACACATTTCTGTGTATGAAGTATATAGCAGCAGAAAATAAGAGCATATCATGATTCACATTCAGTTGCTTACTGATCAGAACCCTAGAGTCTAATTTTATCAGCATGTTAACTATGATCCAAACCTTTGGAAAGTTTTATTTAAAGTATTTATGATGAAATACTAGGCACACAACACCTAATCATTGTGGGGGCTTAACAATTATGATTGTAGAGATGTATCAGACACAGTCACAATGCCTGACAGAAGCATGTCACAATCAAGACAGTAGAATTCTTTAGTCTAAAGGAAAAAAGGAAAGGAATACATTCTTTGTTCCTTGAGAAGTTACAAATGGGGGTGGGGGTATTAGGGTCCTGATTCTATGGCCAATAGTTACTGAATTTTCTTTCTATTATTTGGGACAGGATCTCAGTATGTAGTTCAAGCTGGCCTCAAAATCTGATGATTCTCCTGTCTCAGCCTCTCAAGTGCTACAATTACAGGCATGTACCAGTACACCTAGCCAGGTACTGATTTTTTTTTTTTTTTTTTGGGGGGGGGGACTGGCGATTGAACTCAGGCCCTTGTGCTTGCCAGGGAAGCACTTATTTCACTGAGCCATCTCCCTGGGCCCACTTATTTATTTTTAAATAAATCAAATAATCCTCTTGAAACACAGAATACCATTACATCATTAATAAAAACGAGGGAGGAAAAATAGACTGAAATAGATGTGTCTAAGATATCTAAGGATGAAGAAAAAGCTAGTAACCAAACAATGTATACATGTGAATTTATTTACATAAGAAAGCATGTGGATACATATGATGCCAAATACAGAGAAAATAGTTTAAACACAAATACAATAATGCTGAGCTGGCCAGACAGCTCAGCAGACTAAAACACCTGCTTAGGCAGAGCGCAGCGGCAGGGGTTCAATCCCTGGTTTGCCATGCAGGTGCTGGACCCAGCCCAGGCCCCACCCCCAGGGGTGCACCAAGATGACAATTGAGACTGGGCCTAGTGGTGCACGCCAGTAATCCTAGTACTTGGGAGGCTGAAAATACAATCACTATGATTGCAATCTATGTAGTGAGACCCTGTCCTAAACACATTTAAAAAAAAAAAATACAAAATGCAATGTTGGCTTCCTCTAGGAAAAGTCTTAGAAAAGATTTGAAGATTACTTTTATTCTATATTCTTCATATAAATTGAACTTTTATAAGCATTATTTATAACCAAATACAGAAAGCTTTAAAGGAAAAGGAACAGTATGTTTAAAGATTCACTAGGTCACGTTAAGAGATACGATAGTTACCACAGGATAGCACTTACTTTTTTTCTTTTTTTTTTTTTGGCAGAACCAGGAATTGAACTCAGGCTTGCGCTTGCCAGGGAACGCTTATTCCACTGAGCCATCCCCCTGACCCGGATAGCACATACTTTTCCCACATCTAAATAACTTAACAATGAAGAATATGGAAAGACATACACACACACACACACACTCCTGTTTAATTTGATCATCACCACTGGAATTGTCAGAAATGCAATTTCCTCCCAACTTACCCCAGTCTCCCACCAGAAGTAGGAGGCTGGTCGAGATGACAAGTGTTTCAGTGGAACTAGAGTTATGTCCACTGAGTGGGGCTACAAGGGCTGAGCTGCTGCTGTCCCTGCCCTGCTGCTACCACCACGGGGGAGTTCCAGACAAGCCATCCCAGGGGCCTAGCCGAGTCTCTCCAAAGGAGACCTGCTCCCCAAAGGCTCACACATCCCACATGCAGTCTGTGCTTGCTTTCTAGTTCTTGGCAACACTCCTGGCTGCCCCACTGTACTGACAGACTCTGGGTTTATTACCCGAGGTTTAACCCTGCAAAGAGGGCTATCTACATACACTTACCTCTTTCACTTCCACAAGACCAGAAAGAGTCAGGGCTGAACACAATTTAGAAGCCGTCTTCACTTTGCTATTGTTAACTACCAAAAAGAAAACCCCAATTAATAGCTTCATAGGTCAAATCAGGAAAAAATAATTAAGGCTCTCTCCTGTGTAGATCAGTAGGTATCAAATAATAACTATTCTGTCTAACTTGCATACAGTTTAGTGACAGCATTTGAATTTGAAAAATCCTTTTGATTGTTCACACTGCTCTTATCTATGCTCTTAAATATAATTCCATTATTATGTTTCTTATCACTCTCCCCTTCTAAAAGATGCTAGATAATGAATATTACAATTGCAAAGTGCCGGGAAGTACAAGTATGCTTCGTATAAAGTTGCTAGAGACATTGTATTTAGTCACTCAAAGTCTAAATTTCCAGCAAATACTGATGTCTCACATACCTCACAAGTTTACAGCACCCCATAAACAATGAGCATCTTTATACATCTCAAAATACACTTGATCTCCTACCAAGCTTCCATCTCTTCAAATGCGCAGATAAGGAGATTGAAATACTACCCCTTTGCAGCTACAGGCCCCGCCCTGCTCCCCTACTTAAGCCATGGCAACCACTAACACGATCTTCTTTGGCACAATTTTATTTCAACAACATGAATACGGCTGGGTATGATGGTACACAACCGTAACCCATGTTCCTTAGGCCGAGGCAGGAGAGCTGCTGCATTCTAGGCCAGCAGCTACATAGTAAGACCCTGTCTCAAAAAAAAGAGAATAGAATCATACAACATAGAACCTTTTAAGGGGCTGGGGAGATGGCTCAGTAGAATAAGCACTTGCCTGGCAAGCACAAGGGCCTGAGTTCAATCCCCGGTTCCGCAAAAAAAAAAAAAAAAAAAAAACACAAAACCTTTTAAAATTGACTTTTTCTTCTACTCAGTTCTCTGTATCTAATAACACTATGCTTTGTTTTTTATTTCGAGACAGGGCCTCTCTACATACCCCAGGTTGGGTTTAAATTTATGGTGATCCTCTTGCCTCAGCCTCCCAAGTGCTGGGATTACAGGTTATTTTGTTTTTCTTTTTTTTCCTTTTTTTGGTGGTACTGGGGATCACACTAGAGACCTTGTGCATGCCAAGCAGGCGCTTATGGTGCTGAGCTGTCCCCCTAGCCCTGTTTTTTGATATAGGGTCTTGCTATATAATTCAGGCTGAACTTGCACTCACTAAGTAGCTCAGACCAGGCTAGAATTTATGGAGACATTCCTGATTCAACCTCCAGAGAGCTGGAATTATAGGTGTGAGCCACCACACCCAGCTTAACTGTGTATTGTGTAAACTCTTACCTACAGCTGTCTCTACTGGCTCTTTTAGAAAAAGACACCCTCCAGGCCGAAGGATCCGGGCCATCTCCGCCAAAACCTCAGTACTGTGCAAAGTTGTGCTTCCTGGGACTACACCCGACAAAATAATGTCAAAACTGGATTCCTTGTGGGCAGCTGAAAAGAAAGAAGATACTAATGAGCAATCACCTAAGCCCCAGAAGCAATTTCCCAAGCCATCCCAAGCCCCTACAAAAGCTATGAGCCCCGTCTGTTTTGGTAAACTCTATCAAAACACAAGCACTAGTCAAAGAAGGAGCCCTGCCCTGCTCTCTCAGCCTCACTAATTTCACAACCCTTTCATATGCTCTGGGAAAAAAGCGAAAAAGAAAGCAGGACAGAGCAAGCTTTCAAAAAACAGTGTGCCACAGCTACTAAACAGTATACAGAAAACAGCTACACTCTATCACACCTGAAAAATAACTCGCCAGCCACTGCTTCCCTGTGCCACCCAAAGCAAAACCTCAAGATGCCAAGGAACCAGAGCTGGCACTTGCACTGAAACCCCTCCAACCTGGGTAGAACGAGTGGGTAGGTACTCACACTGCAGCAGCTGGCTGATGTTTTCCACAGATACCCGGTCCTCACTGCCAGTTAGCCCGTGAAGTTCACCCACCAGATTGTTCAGAGCCTCCGTGGGGGCCGACTCATCCCAGACCACCGCCACCAGCTGGCCAGCTGAGACCCCAAACTCTGCCATTCCTGTAGTGTCCGCAGGCCTAAAAGCCACTGGCCAAAACAGAATTAAGACTTAGCAGAGACGACAGTGCAATTTAATCTGGAGTATCATTAAATACGATTAGAATCACAACCTACTTCCAACCTCCCACCAGCAAATTTGGACGACATAAGAGATTTCACTGTAGATGCTAGAGTCTAAATAAGTGAACTTATTACCCCAAGGCTTCATGATCTCAACATTCCCCATCCAACAAGCCACGTGGCTAGAACCCTGACACAGCAGAGTCAAGAAAAGAGTAGCTGGGCTGAGAATGCAGCTTAGCAGTAGAATACTAACCCTGGGACTGATGCCCAGCACAGCAAAAAACTGAACTGCGGTGGGAAGGAGGGGTTTAGAGACAAGTAAAGAGGTTAGGAATGAAAACATTATTTCTTCTTTGAAGTAACTCAGCTTAAACAATATAAAACAGACAGGCTTAATTAGGCAGAAGCATGACTCTTCAAGGAAGGCAAATAAACTGGCAGACATAACCAACCACTTCTGATTTTTTAAAAGACAGCACGTTTAAGTTTGCAAGCTGAATACTATTTTTTCTTTCATAAAAAATATATTCAGCCAAGTGCAGTGGCACATACCTGTATTTTTGTTGTTTTTAAGTTTATGTATTTGGTACAGGGTCTCACTACACAGCTCCCTGCTTAGATTGGTAGCGATCCTCCTATCTCAGCCTCCCGGGGGTTGGGATCATAGGCATGCGCTACTATGTCATTTTGGTGGCTAACTGGGTGGGCCTGGAGCAGGGCCAGCATGGCATGCAGTACCAGGGATCAAACTTTGGTCCTTGTGCTTGCCAGGCAGGCACTTAGATACTAATACTAATACCAAGTTTCGACTTAAGTCAAAGACAGAAACAGTGATAGAGGGTCAAATATGTATTAATCTTATCCTGAACACTTCTCTGACTTTTGCAGAGGTGAGAATTATGTCACCACAGACCATCTGGGCCTAAATTTGAATGGCATATACAACATTCTTCCTTCTTTAAAAATATTCCCTTTAAATGACTGCCTCCTGGCTGGGCTTGGTGGTACATGCCCATAATCCCTGCACTTGGTAAGGAAGGCAGGAGGATCATTTTAAGTTCAAGGCCAGCCACAACTGGTACAAAGCATGAGGCTGTCTCACAACTAAGTAAAACCTATGAAAAACAGGAAAAATAAATGACTGTCTCCTTTCATCTACAAGCCAGTTATCTTTCTCCTTTTTTTTTTTTTTTTTTTTTTTGGCAGTGCTTGGGTTTGGCTAGGGCCTTGCACATGCAAGAAAGTGTTCTACCATTGAGCAACACTGAAGATTTCAATTACTGAAGATTTTCATTTTTAGAGAAAAAAACAAAACTCCTTAGCCTGACCCAGGCATGGTGTCACATGCCTGTAATGCCAGCAGTCTAGGAGGCTGAGACAGGAAGATCAGAAGTTTGAGCCTGGTCTGGCAACTGAGCAAGAACTTGCCCCAAATAGAAAGGATTAGCAATGGAAGGCCTTGGCTTCAACTCCTAGTTGTGTGTATACACACACACACACACACACACACACACGCTTAGCCTGCTGGATTCAAGGCCTTCATAATCTAGCCCACCATTCACGCACAAATCCTTATTCTATGAAAAATCTATTTTATCATGTCTTTTACCTATCTCCATATGGACCCCTTTACTAATTCTGATCTGACTACAATCTTTAGTAAGAGGATGCAGGTAGCAGACAGGCAGGCTTCTCCAGTTACTGACTTTTGGATTTTTTTTTAAAAATTATTTATTTATTTATTTGTGTGTGTGTGTGTGTGTGTGTGTGTGTGTGTGGCCGGCTCAGCCCACCAGGGGGCGGGGCTGGCTGGCATGTGGTGCTGGGGGATTGAACCACGGTCCCTGTGCTTTGCTAAGCTTGTTTTAAGTAGGTGCTTTAGACCACTGAGCCATCTCACCAGCCCCAACTTTTGGATTTTAAATCCCTAAAACATCACACACTGAAAACTGAAACTTAAGCAATGTTGGAAAAAAAAAACACTCTTGCAAAATCTTTAAAACGAGCAATTTGGTATCAATCTGATATTTAAAAAACAGCCAAAGAAGATAAATATAGACTGCTAGGTTGTAAATTCTAAGAAATAAATGATCTGAAGTTCTATCAATGGATCATCTTACTAGGTACATGACCATAAGTTATTATCTTTTCTGAATCTATCTTCCCACCAATGAATAGGGATAGTCACCACATATTTTGTAAAGCGTTCAGCAGGAATGGGTAGAATTCTGTGAAACACTGTTCTAAGGGAAGGGAGGGAGCTTCTACTTCTTTATTGTTAGTTTATTTACCCTTGCTGTAGATAGTCCTATAAAATGTTTTTCTTCCCCCCACCTCAGCCATGCCTGCTAGGAAGACTCCCCAGGGAGCAAGGGATGAGGGACTGTCCATAAATTAGGAAACTGTAAATAAAATGCCTTGCCTTCCTATCTCCCCAAGCTAATCTCATGCTACGGAAACTCATAAAATATATTTATTAAATATCAAATCCCAGGGGCTGGAGAGATGGCTCAGTGGTCTAAAGCACCTACTTGGAACAAGCTCGGCAAAGCACAGGGACCGCAGTTGGATCCCCCAGCACCACATGCCAGCCAGCCGCGCCCCCTGGTGGGTTGAGCTGGCCACACACACACACACACACACACACAATAAATAAATGTAAAAAAAAAAAAATATATCAAATCCCCAATAAAGGTAGCCCCTACTTTCAGAATTTTCTAAGTAAAATAGGAGACAATACTTTTTTAAATGTTTTAAAACCCAAAGTGTGATACTTTTCATCATCAGAGTTTTGTATGCTTATTGTGAATCTGATGGGAAAAAAAAGGAAAAGGAAGCCAACATACTTAAGAGCTGTGACTCAGGGCCCAGTTTCACAACTAAAAAGAGGTGGTGGAGTAGAAGACCTTGTCACATCATTGACCTTGTTTGTCAGATAGATACCTTTCCAACTTACTACACACACTTACCCATTGCTCTTATAAAATGTTACAAGCAGACAGTAAAAGCATATGTTTGTGACTATCACATGCCAATGAGCTTGTTTAAAGTACTCAAGAAATATTAAATCTTGCTTCCTTCTTGGAAAGGAGAGGATGACCAAGGTCTGGGAATGTAGTTGAATGGTAGAACAATTACCCCAGCATATGCAAGGTCTGAGTTGAATCTTCAGCAACACACACACACACAGCCAAAAATAAAAAAAAAAAAAAAAAGACTGAAGTTTGAGCTTAGTTCAAGTTAAGGATCAAATCCTTTTAAATTAGTGCATTAAAAAATCCTCCACAGGGCCAGGGAGATGGCTCAGTGGAATAAGCGCTTCCCTGGCAAGCGCAAGGGCCTGAGTTCAATCCCTGGTTCCGCAAAAAAAACCCCAAAAACCACAAAAACAAAATCCTCCACATACTGTTAGTTATCAGAAAGTGAAATTTTAATTAACAATTATTGAACTGAAGCTCACATGTACACTGTGGGGGGAAAACAAAAACAAAACTTTTTTTCACAGGCAAGAGAATTGATGGGTTAGACAGGTGGATCACCAAGATTTCCAGGCTAGCCTGGGCTACACTGAGCTCAAGGCTAGGCTGAACATAGCAAAACCTCATCTCAAAACAAAACAATGAAAACAAACTGCAGGGCATGATGGTGCACATCTGTAATCCCAGCACCCAGGAGGCTGAGGCAGGAGGATCATTGTGAGTTCAAGGCCAGCCTGTACTTCATACTGAAACTCTTCTCTCAAAAAGAAAAAAACCCAAACAAACCAATCATATTCATATATATATATATGACAGAATTGGGGCTGGAGTATAGCTCATTACAGCATGTCCTGCCTTGGCATGTGCAAAGTCCTGGATCCCAAGTCCAATTTCAAATATTAGTTTCCACAAGAAAGACCTACTCAAAGGTGGAATAAGCAGAACTCACAACAAAAAGCCTAGACAGCCACAAAGGAACACACCTACAGCATCAGTTACTCAGAGGCTGAAGCAAAGAAAATCAGTGCCTATGAGTCTGAGGTCAGACTGCTGAGAGAGGAGTATCACTGGCTTGAGCACAGCCTGGTCAATCGGCCACTCTGTGAGACACTCAAAATAGGGGATCAGGGATCAACAGAGGATACAGCTCAGTACAAAGGCCCTAGGTTCAAATCCCGATGCTGCACGAAATAAATAAAGCTGAAATTGGAAAAAAAGTTTTGGCTCAGGTCTTCCCCCCACATCCATGCTGGAGACCAGGCTGTCTGGTGGGGAAAATGTGCACAATAATTTTAACAGGTAAGAAGATGAATCTAACTTCAAACACATTTACAGAATGTATTATCCTCAATCCAGGAAAAACAAAAAACTCATTTACTTCTTCCCACTATTAAGTCTTCCCTAATGACAACACCCTGACCTTGGTGAGCCACCCAGGTCACTCAGAAATGCCAGAAACAACGAAACCAGCCTCTCTCAAACTCCACAGATGTACCAATTACCCAAAGCCATTGTTCATTAAAGCAAGAATTATGGACCAAGCCTAGACACTCAATCAACCCTCCAGGGCAAAAACCTGTTGGGTTTTTAATTTTTTTTTATTTTTGGCTGGCTCAGGATGCCTTAAGGGCAGGCCTGGTAAGGCATAAGGATCTGGGGATCGAATCACAGTAGCCTCAGCCTGACTGTCTCTGCTTAAGCAGGCACTTAAGTGAGCTAATGGGCAGGCCCCGTTTGTTTTACTAACAAGCATCCTTGATTCGTCCGATCGTTGATTCTGGGAAATACCCAGTACGTCGGAGGTTCACACAAGTTCTAAATGCAGACTCACAGTGTGGTGGTTCAGACGTACCCAAGCTTTCGTATCTTAGCTGCCCGAGTCCCTCCGAGACAAAACTTCTGAGGAACTGAGACCCAAGGTCACAACAGCTGGCTGCGCGTAGGGCCGAGTCCCAGCCCCGCGTCCCCGTGCCTCAGCTCGGGGCTTTTCCCGCGCAGTGCCCGAGGCCGGCTGCGCGCGTGTAGAGGTCAGAAGCCACCGCGTCAGGAGTCCGGGGCGAGCAGGGCCGGCGCGGCCCTTCGCCGGCTTCCCTAGCACAAGCCCTCGGGGGCTCTCCGCCGGAAGCCCGCGGCCACGTTCCTAGGAGGGACAAGGCTGGGAAGAGAAAATGGGGAAATAAAGGGCAACATTGCCAGAGGAGTCCGCCGCAAAGGGTTGAGGGCTCTCAGGCTGCCTCGAGTACACTCACCTGCCGCCAGGCTCCCTCCCAGCCTCGCTGTAATCACCTCGTAGGCGGCTCGCGCCTCTCGCGAGAGGACGAGACTTGCGGAAGTGGGCGGGGCCAGTTGTGCGGCGGCCCACCCCTTTTGTCGCCGTAGGCAGCTTAGGTGCCCGCTTCCAAGATGGCGGCGGCAGCGGCGGTGACGGGTGTCCTAGGCCGGGCGGGCTGGAGGCTTCTGCAGCTGCGTTGCCTACCTGGTGAGGGGGCGCCCGAGCCGGGGAGAGGGGAAGACTGGGGAAGGGAGGCGAGGCCGGCCAGAGCTGGGTGCGGGGCGAAGAAGCTTATCCTGGCGGCCCCGAGGAAGGTGAGGTGAAGGGCGTAGAGGGCTGGAACGCGCAGAATGGCCAGCTTGCTGAAGTCTCTCGCTGTGAGGGGTTAGAGCTGCAGGGCAGGGCCTGTGAGTCGGGTGTTGAGAGGTAATTAACAGCTTCTGGGCGGCCTGGGAGTGCCCCAGGTTGCACAACTCCTTGGTTGCAGAACTGACCATCACAGACCCATTCTCAAGTCCATGTCCTTGGTCCCTGGACCAGGATCACAGTTGGAAAAGCACGTAGCGGTCCAGTCTGTTATCTAAAGTCAGTCATGTTCACTACTGTTTCACTAATTGTGCGACATTCTTTTGCCACCCTTGCTGCTATACATTCGGATTTTTTTGACTCTGAATACCCTAAAAATAGGCACTCACTTACAGAGGAAACTTTATATCACTATCAGAAAATGCATCTAGTGAGATAGTCTCTTTTGTTTCACTTGAAAACAATTTTTTGCTATTACTGGGTACTGAAGCCAGAGCCTTTAACCTAAGCTGCATCACAAGCCCTTTTTCATGTTTTGAGAAACCAGAATCTCAGTAAGTTGCCCAGGGCTGGACTCGAACCGCTATCCTCCTGCGTCAGCCTTTTTTTTTTTTTTTTTTTTTTTTGCGGAACCAGGGATTGAACTCAGGCCCTTGCACTTGCCAGGAAAGCGCTTATTCCACTGAGCTATCTCCCCGGCCCTCAGCCTCTTGAACAGCTGAGATTACAGGCTTGTACCAAGTATGGATTTCCCTTGAATTTTCCTCATGGAATAGTTGTTCCAAAGTCATATTTTAGGACCTCACCCTTACTTTTCAAAGTTTTAAGGATGTTTGCTTCTTTTTCTTTCCATATAGGGATCCCTCCCCATTTACTACATGTACGAAAATATTGATTTTTTTACGTAATGTTTTGTGTTTCTTTCAAAATCATTTTTTCTGAGTTACTCTTTTTCCTGAGTTGTTTGTTGAGGCAGGGTCATCTAGCTATGTGGTCCAGGCCTTGAACTTTGTGGAGCCCAGACTGAACTCTTGAGCTCCAAGACCTGCTTCATTCATTAGTCACCCAAGTGCTACAACTTCAAGCATGTGTGTCTGTTTTCTGTAGGGTTTTTTTTTTTTTTTCCTTAATGCCCTTTTCTAATTTTTATACAAAAGTCCAGAATAAATATGTTTAGTAAAAGTAATGTCCATGACCCAGCAAATCCACCCTTAAGATATTTATGGAAGGGCTGGGGAGATAGCTCAGTAGAATAAGTGCTTGCCTGGCAAGTTCAAGGTCATGAGTTCAATCCCCAGTACCGCCACAAAAAAAAAAAAAAAAGATATTTATGGAAAAGAAATAAGTGCATCTGTCTACAAAAAGGTTTGAAGTATATTTATGGCACCTCTTTCTGCATTACTGCAGATTGTACCTAGAGGTTTTGCACTGAGCTACATCCTCAGCCCTTTTAAAATTTTGAGTCAAGGTGTTACTAAATTGCACATACCTCCCACTTACTTTAGGAAAAGTCAGGAGTATGTTTCCTAAGCATAAACTCATACTTTTTTTCTTTCTCAACATCATATACAAATTTATTGTTGTGTTTTTTTGTTTTGTTTTGTTTTTTGCTCTATTGGAGAGTGAATCCACAGCCTTATGCCTGTTAGGCAAGTGCTCTCTACCACAAGTTGTATCCCCTCACCACTTACAGTTCTTTTATTGAGTGCTACTAGTATACAATGAAATACACAAATTTTATGCCACTCTAAGTTGTGACAATTGTATACACTTGCATATCCTATATTCTTTTTTTTTTTTTTTTTACAGAACCAAGGATTGAACTCAGGCCCTTGCGCTTGCCAGGGAAGCACTTATTCCACTGAGCCATCTCCACAGCCCCATATCCTAAATTCTTATAGAGATATCATTACCATTACTCTAGAAAACTCTCGTACCTTTTCAGTCATTCCCCATCTATACTGTGCTGAATCTTTAACCCTACATTATATAATTTGTCTTAGTTTTACTTGTCCTAAGATTTCATCTAAATGTATTTATTCTGTAAGAATTTTGTTTGCTTAGTATATGTTTTTTATAAATTGGTCTAGTTTTTCATAATTTAGTATATCTGACAAAGATTCTCTCCTTGACCAAACTCTAGTCAGCCTCTTTTGTGCCTTATTATTATTTTTTTTTTAAACTGGTACATGTTTGTAGTACATATTGAGTACATTCTTCCTGGGGAGTACATGACACTTCTTAATTCTTTTTTTTAGCCCCTGCCCCCGCCTGCCTGCCTGCGCGCCCACCCGCCCACCTGCCATACATCTCTTGTACCCTTTCTCACATTTTATGTACATGTCTGTAGTACATAAGGATCACATTCCTCCTGCTATGCCCTGTCCTTAACTAGGCTTTAACCTTGGCCTATAAAGATTTGAATGTGCATTAATGTGGTTTCACTCAAGGCCACCTCCCTAAAATGACCCTAACTCCTTTGAAAGTTTCTGCCAAACTGGGTGTGGTGGTACATGCCTATCTATAATCCCAGCAACTTGGGAGGCTGAGGCAGATAGATCACAAGTTCAAGTCCAGTCTGGGCAACTTATCAAGATCCTGTCTCAAAAATAAGAAATAACAAGAGTTGGAGATGTGTCTCTGTGGCAGGCACTGGGCTCAAACCCCAATACCAAAAAAAGAAAAAAAAAAAAAAAAAACCCTAGATGTTAAGGCATATAACCACACAGCAGGCAGGTGGTAGAAACAGCCTGAGAGCCCAGGTAGGTGCTCTGTTCACCATCCTTGTCTGCAGGTGCCCATTTATCCAAGAGTTTTATGTGGGATAAGGGTTAGTGGTTCTGAGGATCCTCGGCCCTGCATTTCCTCCTGATTTTTATTTCCACTCTGGGCCTCAATCTTTAGTAAGTTTTCTGCTTGACCAGCTCAGTGTCTATTTCAGTGTCACGCTGCCAACCACCCCTGGTACCACGTGCCCTCCATGCTTCAGCTGTGGGACTAAGGTCTTCAGAGGAACACAAGCAGCAACCTCCCCCATCCTTTTCGGAGCAGCATTCTGAGACACAAGGGACAGAAAAACCCCATGCAGAGCCTCCCCGTCCACCCCCCAGGTAGGTTCCAGAGCCCCAGTCCATCCATTTGTAGCCAGTTTGCCTAATTGGATGACTGTGTCTCCTCTACTTCTTCTTTCCATGGCCCTACTCATATCCCATCATTTCCAAGGCTATCCTTGAAAAGAACCTACTGTTTTCATAAAATTGGTTCCTGAAACATTTTAATTCATCTAAACAATACTGAGAAGTTTGTAAAAATTACCCTAAATTCTACAGAGATAACCGTACTGACATTTTTCTAAATATCCTCTTAAATATCTTTAATCATGTTTCACATATGAATGTTATGTAATAAATGATTAATTACCCTTACTGATGTCCCAGAGCCTGTTGTTTTATTCAACAGTAATTTTTTTTTAATTTTGCATCATTTTCTTATTTTATTTTATTTTTGCCATTCCAGGGATCGAACTAAGGACTTTGTGCTTGCCAGGCAGGTGCTTATGCCACTGAGCTATCTCCCTAGTAACAGTAGTATTTTTAGTGTCTTTTCATAATTTACCTTATCTTAATGATCATACCACAGTGTAACAATGAATGGACCAAAATTTATTTAGCCTCTCTTGCTGATTAATATCTAGATTCCTTCATGTTTGAAGGGTCATGTAAGAAACTGTGATGCTCCTGAGAAGTGGGAGTGCCGAGTCAAAGCCAGCCCATTGGGCTGCCAGTGTGGAATGCTTAGCCAACATGCACTAGGCCTTGGGTCCCTTCCTAGCAAGAAGAAGGGGGAGGGAAGGAGGGGCAGGTGAAAGATAAGCACATTTAATGTTTTGTTTACTTTTATCAGAGATGGGTATTCTGTTCAAATATTGTTGGTGCATGAATTCAGCAAAGTAATCCAATAGTCCATAATAGTAGTGTGTTGAAAAATCCATATATATACATATATATAAATATATATATATATGTATATATATATCTGTATGTACAAAATAGCATAGATATACTGCTACTTTCTCTTAGTTCAATGAAAAGAAAGTTTTGAACTAATAGCATTTAGACAATATCATGTCTGTATCTTGTATTATGAATAACTACTATGAAGACAACAGTATACAATGTATTAACTATTGTAACTGGCCTACTAGCCTGATTTGAAACTGTCTCATTGCTGTTTCTTCTCAATAAAATTAATTTTAAAAGAAGAAAATACAAAAAAAAAAATAATGTTTCGCCGGGGGAGATGGCTCAGTAGAATAAGCGCTTCCCTGGCAAG